CAATATAAAAGGAGGGGGTTTGTTGAACTCGGGGTGAGCCATATTCCATTACCTGCTATAGCATTTCTCAATTTCTTTTCAGTGACTGGAACATCACATGACAGCAATTATGTATGCAGCTAAGCATCGAGCTTCTTTTTAAACGCACTATTACGTCCTGTTTCAACAAAAAGCTTCTTGTAGTGAATTCCACATTCTCACTGCTTGCTGTGGAAAGAATATTAATAATTAATACATTATTATCTATGTTTTTATTATAAACTTTATATTAATCTCTATTGTCAAAAAATGACTATAGATTTGGCGGCTGAGGAAGAGTGGGGGTGAAAGCGAGAAGCCAAGCATAGTTTATATCACCTGTTTCCAGTGCAAACTAAAAAGGTATGAATGTTACGTAAAGCTCCTGCAAAATGCTCAAAACAAAACCTTATCTTAAATTGACATCAATAATGCACATGCACTGCACATCATCAAAACTTCCAAAATAAATCATAATGCTTTGTTGGAGGTACTATTCTTTGGATGAGACGTTGAACTTAGGTCGCTGCTGTGCTGTTTAGTTGGATGGTAAAGTTCCCATGGCAGTATTCGAAGAAAGTTTCTCCTGGTATTCTGGGTTTTCTGGCCAACATTCCTCCATGCAACACTGGTCATTCATTCCATGGTTCGAATTCAAGATCCTCATCCTCACCTACAAGGCCATTTATGGCCTTGCTCCCTCCTACCTCTCCGACCTACTGTCCCCCTACTTACCTGCCCGTACCCTCCGTTCCTCTGGCTCCAATCTGCTCCACATCCCCCGCCCTAACCGCCCTACCATCGGTGGTCGGGCCTTCAGCCTCTCAGCCCCGAGGCTCTGGAACTCCATCCCCAGTGCCTTCGCCGCCTCCTCCCTTTCCTCCTTCAAGGCCGGTCTCAAGACCTTTCTCTTTGACCGAGCCTTCAGCTCCCCTCTCGACTCTCAACCCCCTCCTCACTCCTGACCCAACTGTCCAGCGCCTTGGGACGTCCTCCCGACGTGAAAGGCGCTCTATAAATGGAATCTTGTTGTTATTGTTGTGGGACAATGCTATGTGTGAAAAGGTGGCTGCATTCACCTACAAAGTATACAGTACGTACACTTTAAAGCATATTGTATGTAGCACTTAAATGTAAGAATTATTATTTAATGTGTTGTTGCCACTCAACTTCTCTTCCATCTTTCCCGCCCCTCCTTCTGCAAACCTTTCCAATCAGGTTTCCGTGCTGCTCACAGCATTGTCAGCACCTGAATGCTCCTTTCACCTTTCTTTCAAGATATGTCTCAAGATCCTCTTTGATCCCGCCTTCAGCCACCCTCTTACGCCTACCCTCCCTGCTCTCCACCCCTCCTGATCCCAACTCCCTGCTCAAGTCCAAATTCCTAATAGTCCAGCAACTTGGTACATCCTTGCGACATGATAGGTGTTTTATGTCAGGAGGACGTCCTAAATATAATTTATTGTCGTTCTTTCCCACTATTCCCTGCTCAAGCCCCTCATGTCTGGCTTGAGAACATCGGCAGATATGGAGCTGCAGCTGGAGGAGGAGAAGTCAATTAGTGTGGCATCCGCATATATGTGCAAGTTTAACCCGTGTCTGCGGATGACATCGCCAAGAGAGCATGTAGATGAGGAAGAGTAAGGGGCCAAGGATGGAGCCCTCGGGTCCACCACAGTTGACCGGGCGGGGGTGGGTGGAGAAAACATTTGAGGAGATAAAGTGAAGGTGGTTTGTTAAGTAGGACTTGAACCAGGATAATGCGGTCCCACTGAGGCAGATGATGGAGGGGAGGCGATGGATGAGGATGCAGTGGTCGACTGTGCCCAATGAGGCGGTGATGTCCACAAGGATGAGGAGGCAGGGGAATTGAACCCAGGTTCTCACGCTTGCGAGGCGTGTGCTCTAACCATTAAACTACAGGCTCACCTCCGGAATGTCACCAGACTACGGCACTACCTCACCCATCACGCTGAAACTCTGGTCCACGCCTTTATCACCTCAAGACTGGACTATGGGAACTCTCTCCTCGCCGGCCTTCCCGGCACCTCCCTCCACACTGCAGGTCATTCAGAGCTCTGCAGCTCGTGTACTGTCCTGCACCAGGCTTCGCGACCACATCACTCCCACCCTCGCTCGCCTCCACTGGCTCCCCATCCCCCAGAGGATTGATTTCAAGATCCTCATCCTCACCTACGAGGCCATTCACGGCCTTGCTCCCCCCTACCTCTCCGACCTACTATCCCGCTACCTACCTGCCCGTACCCTCCGTTCCTCTGTCTCCGGTCTGCTCCACATCCCCCGCCCCAACCGCCCTACCATCGGTGGCCGGGCCTTCAGCCTCTCAGCCCCGAGGCTCTGGAACTCTATCCCCCAGTGCCTTCGCCGCATCCTCCCTTTCCTCCTTCAAGGCCGGTCTCAAGACCTTTCTCTTTGACCGAGCCTTCAGCTCCCCTCTCGACTCTCTACCCCCTCCTCTCTCCCTCCCTTCCCTCCCCTCACCCTGACCATTTCCCCCCTCCTCGCTCCCTCCCTCCCCTCACCCTGACCATTTCCCCCCTGCTCGGGTCCTGACCCAACTGTACAGCACCTTGGGACGTCCTCCTGACGTGAAAGGCGCTGTATAAATGGAATCTTGTTGTTGTTGTTCCTTCTGGTAAAGCAAATCTTTTACCAGAAATCACCTGACCAGGTTATCGTTGTAAGTGAACCATATATAGTCATCAGCTCAAAGTGAAAGTGAAAACAACATGTTTTTTACATTTATAAAGCTCACTTGCATCCTGCACCATTTGCCAGCCAGTAACAGAGACGACAAGTCATCAACCCAGGTATGTGGATCTTGTATCACAACAACTTGCTTTTATCCAAGTGCTCTTCATGTAGGATAGTGTTTTGAAGCACTTTAAAGTGATGGGGTCAAATGCTAAGCAAGGCAGGAGGGGAGAGGGAGGTGATCACAGGCACAGTCAAAGAGGTAGTGTAAATGTTTGAGTTCTTCATAATGTAAAACAAAGAGACTGACCAGCTGGATCTCAAAATAATGTCAGTACTTTAGCAACATGCTCTGTTGCCAAAATAACATCCATAAGTTGTTATACTATATATAAAACCATGACACATAGTTTGGATACAATTTTAGAGTCCTGTAATGTAATGGTTAGAGAACTAGCATCACAAGTGAGAGAGCTGGGTTCGATTCCTGGTGGGGCGAAACCTTAGGCAAGTTATCTTACTCCACACACCTCTGTTTACCCAGCAGTAAGTAGAAACCCAGTTAATCGAATGATGGATCGCTTTTCCTGGGATAATAATTCCTTAAAAAAATATGGTTGGTAAGAGACGCACTTGCCTTCCTGACAGACTGCAGTAAAGACTCCGCTCGCTGCATCCTCCCAACCACCGGCTCCTGTCACTGCCCTGGGAGGATGTCCATCAGGGAGGGAGGGAGAGAGGGAGCGGGTTGGAATGTTGGAAATGATCTCGGGCTGGATGCAGCCCACGGACTTTCTCAAATAGGGAATCCGGCCCCCGAAGCGAAACGTTTGGGCCACCCTGGCTTAGAGTATATCAATCATGGGTCGACAGATGGTCTTTCTCCTTCAGTGGCAGTATTGTGTTCTCCTACCGATGTGTTCACCACTTTTATACCTTATTTTCATGGCAACCGCTGACCAGGTCTTGCTTTTCCACAGAATCTGTTCTTGGCCAGTTCATGCCCTCTGTTTTATCTTTTCATACTAAAGATTAACCCTTTTACATTCCTTCAGACCTCATCAAAAATCAATGCTTTTACACCCCTTTATCAAAGTCCTTTGCTCATCCTGCTTTTAAGAGACAGATGTGCCTGGTACAATAACATTCTCCCCTCTCAAAGCTGAAACACTTGCAGGTTAGAGAACATCTCCTGCAAAGTCAAGTTTCCTTACTCCACATGGCTCTATTTATCTAGCAGTAAGTAGGAATGTGGTTGTTAGTCGAATGGCGGATTGCTTTTCTGGGGGTAATAAACCCTTAAAATAATAATAATAATTTGGTCACTCAATCCACGACTGGTTGTGGGACACTGATGTCTGCAATTGGCTGCCGCATTTTGCCCACCCAATATACAGTCAATTCACTTTACCATTTATTCTGTGAAGCGCATTAGACATCTCAAAGATATAATAAGGGACAGTATCAAATACAAGGATTATTATTATTATTCTTCACTTGAATAGGCAGAGGATTTCAGTTTAACCCCTAGTTTAACAAAGGATTGCACCTCCGAAAATGCAGCACCACATTACGAAAAATACAAAGAATGTACAGCACAGAAACAGGGCATTCATCCCAACAAGTAATTATACTCCATTAGTCTTCAGCCATTCCTTACTCCATCCCATACCCTGTTAATCCCCTCTCCTCCCACATGTGAAGGTCTAGCTTCCTTTGAATGCTTCTGCACTATCTGATTCAGTCACCCCTTTGGGCTGTGAGTTCCAGAATCTCACTACCCTCCTCATGAAGTGGTTCTTAAATTCTCTTTTAGATCAAATCCAATTTCAATCCAATTCAATCTCAATCCACAACTGGTATCTTCCTCCTAAACCTATGTTGTACTCTTTTTATCACTGCTATATCCTTCCTATAGTGTGGAGACCACAATTGGACACAATACTCCAAATGTGGTCTAACAAAGGTTCTCTTTGACCGTGCCTTCAGCTCCCCTCTCAACTCTCTACCCCCTCCTCGCTCCCTCCCTCCCCTCACCCTGACCATTTCCCCCCTGCTTGGGTCTTGACCCAACTGTACAGCGCCTTGGGACGTCCTCCCGACGTGAAAGGCGCTGTATAAATGGAATCTTGTTGTTGTTGTTCCTTCTGGTAAAGCAAATCTTTTACCAGAAATCACCTGACCAGGTTATCGTTGTAAGTGAACCATATATAGTCATCAGCTCAAAGTGAAAGTGAAAACCACATTTTTTTTACTTTTATAAAGTTCACTTGCATCCTGCACCATTTGCCAGCCAGTAACAGAGACGACAAGTCATCAACCCAGGTATGTGGATCTTGTATCACAACAACTTGCTTTTATCCAAGTGCTCTTCATGTAGGATAGTGTTTTGAAGCACTTTAAAGTGATGGGGTCAAATGCTAAGCAAGGCAGGAGGGGAGAGGGAGGTGATCACAGGCACAGTCAAAGAGGTAGTGTAAATGTTTGAGTTCTTCATAATGTAAAACAAAGAGACTGACCAGCTGGATCTCAAAATAATGTCAGTACTTTAGCAACATGCTCTGTTGCCAAAATAACATCCATAAGTTGTTATACTATATATAAAACCATGACACATAGTTTGGATACAATTTTAGAGTCCTGTAATGTAATGGTTAGAGAACTAGCATCACAAGTGAGAGAGCTGGGTTCGATTCCTGGTGGGGCGAAACCTTAGGCAAGTTTCCTTACTCCACACACCTCTGTTTACCCAGCAGTAAGTAGAAACCCAGTTAATCGAATGATGGATCGCTTTTCCTGGGATAATAATTCCTTAAAAAAATATGGTTGGTAAGAGACGCACTTGCCTTCCTGACAGACTGCAGTAAAGACTCCGCTCGCTGCATCCTCCCAACCACCGGCTCCTGTCACTGCCCTGGGAGGATGTCCATCAGGGAGGGAGGGAGAGAGGGAGCGGGTTGGAATGTTGGAAATGATCTCGGGCTGGATGCAGCCCACGGACTTTCTCAAATAGGGAATCCGGCCCCCGAAGCGAAACGTTTGGGCCACCCTGGCTTAGAGTATATCAATCATGGGTCGACAGATGGTCTTTCTCCTTCAGTGGCAGTATTGTGTTCTCCTACCGATGTGTTCACCACTTTTATACCTTATTTTCATGGCAACCGCTGACCAGGTCTTGCTTTTCCACAGAATCTGTACTTGGCCAGTTCACGCCCTCTGTTTTATCTTTTCATACTAAAGATTAACCCTTTTACATTCCTTCAGACCTCATCAAAAATCAATGCTTTTACACCTCTTTATCAAAGTCCTTTGCTCATCCTGCTTTTAAGAGACAGATGTGCCTGGTACAATAACATTCTCCTCTCTCAAAGCTGAAACACTTGCAGGTTAGAGAACATCTCCTGCAAAGTCAAGTTTCCTTACTCCACATGGCTCTATTTATCTAGCAGTAAGTAGGAATGTGGTTGTTAGTCGAATGGCGGATTGCTTTTCTGGGGGTCATAAACCCTTAAAATAATAATAATAATTTGGTCACTCAATCCACGACTGGTTGTGGGATACTGATGTCTGCAATTGGCTGCCGCATTTTGCCCACCCAATATACAGTCAATTCACTTTACCATTTATTCTGTGAAGCGCATTAGACATCTCAAAGATATAATAAGGGACAGTATCAAATACAAGGATTATTATTATTATTCTTCACTTGAATAGGCAGAGGATTTCAGTTTAACCCCTAGTTTAACAAAGGATTGCACCTCCGAAAATGCAGCACCACATTACGAAAAATACAAAGAATGTACAGCACAGAAACAGGGCATTCATCCCAACAAGTAATTATACTCCATTAGTCTTCAGCCATTCCTTACTCCCTCCCATACCCTGTTAATCCCCTCTCCTCCCACATGTGAAGGTCTAGCTTCCTTTGAATGCTTCTGCACTATCTGATTCAGTCACCACTTTGGGCTGTGAGTTCCAGAATCTCACTACCCTCCTCATGAAGTGGTTCTTAAATTCTCTTTTAGATCAAATCCAATTTCAATCCAATTCAATCTCAATCCACAACTGGTATCTTCCTCCTAAACCTATGTTGTACTCTTTTTATCACTGCTATATCCTTCCTATAGTGTGGAGACCACAATTGGACACAATACTCCAAATGTGGTCTAACAAAGGTTTTGTATAAATTAAACATTACCTCCTAATACTTATATTCTATCCCTCTGGAAATAAAACCCCAAAACTCATTGACCTTTTTTGTTACACCCCTTTATACACCCCTTACTTACGTGTGTAGCTACTTTTAGAGATTTGTGGATTTCAATTAGTTGCATATCTATAAATACTCAGCTTAAGTGCTCTGCGCCTCTATCCTGCATGAAGGGTGCTATATAAATGCAAGTTGTTGTTGTTATCCCTTTCTCTCATCTTGAAGAAAGACAAGATATTAGATTGTACTTATTCACAGACTCCTATAATTTGTAGCTTATTGTTTTGCAGGTTATTAGTTGGAAACTTGACCAAACATTCATTACTGGCAACCTACTCTCTTCAATGAAAAACAATAAACCAATCCAGGGGAAGACTGTAATGATATAGAAAAAACAAATAAAACACGTATTGTTGCACCACACAGCAAGCCAGCTCCTCTGGACACTGGCCAAGGGATCTGAGGAAGGCTCCAACCTGGCACAGGAAATGGATGAAACTTTGCAACACAAGAAAGAATGGTCACCATCTGAACTCCTAGGAAAGGCCTCAGGGGGTCTGGCACTCAAAGGAATCTTGGTCAGTGAGAATCTGAGTGACCTGCTACAGGAACGGTGCCCATTGCTGGAAGTGCCTGAGAAATGCAGCTTGTTGGGGCCGTCCATGATAGCTGTGGAGCAGACTGCTAGCTATGAGTCTTATACTCATGCAGCAAATTCCAAAAAGTCTCTGGAAAAGCTGGGAGAAGGATTCTCCAGCCAGCTTGAAGCAGGATTCTGGGGTATTAAAGTTGATGTGAAGGCAGAGTACAACTCCTCTTCCTCCACCTCTGCATCATCCTCCACAGTCAATAAGAGCACCTACTCATCTTGGTGCAAGAAGGTCCTTTTACCCACAGCATGTGTTCAGTTGAAACCCACAGATCTGAAATTGTCAGAAATGGCTCTGAACTCACTGAGGGAGGTTGAAGACAATCTGCTATACAGGACAACAGATACGAAAGACACATTTTGTGATAAGTTTCTCGAACAGTTTGGGTCACACGTGAACAGCAGCAACATCCACTTTGGGGCCATTTACTTAAGGCAAGCAGAGAGTTCTGCATTGAACCATAAGGAGAAGCAACTGTCAGAAGAAGTCATGACACAGCTGATCAACATGAACTTGGACACAAACAAATTTGGAGCTGGTAGTGCCTCAGTTACAGCCTCAGCCTCTAAATTTCAATCTGTCCTTGATAGGAAATACAAGAGCACTCTGCTGGATAAAATCTATGTTTCTATTCATAAAATTGGAGGACCTATTGATGCACCATCTCTGGCAGCCTGGACAGAAGGAACACACCTCAACAGCAGAACCTGGAGAGTGATTGACCGCGGATGCCCCAATGATCTGGTTCCTGTCTGGAGAATAATTCTGGAGAAACACAGAAGAGATTTCAAGAATGTGCAGTTGCTGACCGAAGCCCTGCAGAGATGTTGGGAAACAAAGACTGGGCTAAAGGATGAAACTAGAGGCACTGTGGAGATGATCATTGTCCGCACAAGTATTCAGGATCTGGCCCAGGAAGTGGAGAAGTGGAACCAAGCCTCAGAATCAGATTTTGTTAGGAATTGTGCCAATTACATTTCTAAATGTGCAAATATCAAATCCTCCCTGGGAAAACATCAGGCAATAGACACAGACAGATTGTGGTATGATGAGTTCATCTGTCGTAGCTCTGTTCAGAAGTTCCTCAGTAAAGTTTTAAAGTGCGCGAGCAGCGAGGATGAAGTTTACCTGAAAATTCGTGTTCTCGATCTCCTGAAACCTCAGGAAATGATAAGCGTTAAGGATTTTCCAAACATTTCAGAGATCCTACAGCAACTAACCAACCATCCCTACAGAGAGCGAGAGCTGTCATTCTCCAGCGCTGAGGAGGCAAAGCAATACATCTTGAAGCTGGAGATGAAATTCCGAGTTGCTGATACTGGGATTGAGTTAGAAGCTAGTGCCCGCAATCAACTGGGAAAAGCATTGTTTGAGCTGCAACTGTTTTACAAACGAAACAACTCTCTATATGCCTCTCTTCTTCTCCCAGCAATACTGCATCCAATCTCCTATAACGCCGATGGAACAATGAACCGGTGTCTCGAAGACAGTGACTGGAAATATCTCATCTCTCAGTTGGATAGAATTGAGAGTTTCAGAGAAGAATTGCAGAACAAGGGGAGTGAAGAGCAGCAAGCCTTTCTGTTGTACACAGCTCTGTCTGCCAGGGAGGAATGTAAGCATGTGCAGTCAGATGATGCCAATATTACAGCTGTGTTGCAGATGTTGTGTAAACAATTGAACCAAGAGATGCTTCCACGGGTTCGTGAAGCTATAATGACAAACAATAGAACCATTATAACAGATGCGAAACTTATGAAAGAAACATTACAAAGTTTGTCAAGCAAAGCAATCCCGGGACCTCAATTGAGTGAATCACTGTCAGAATTTGGTGATAGCTTTCCTTGCCAGAACACAGCATCTCCCAGTGATCTCAATGACATCCAGACTGGCCCATCCAATTCATCGAATAGTGGACCTCCCCCAAAGATGCTAACTGACCTGGGATTGCTTGATTACTATCCGAGGAAACTTTCCCTGAGGCAGATGCGAGGGATCAGCGCTGATAAATTAAAGGACATTAAACCCACTGGACCTGAAGGAATCCCCTGGCACTTTCTCCAGAGAGTCCTGATGGCTAATTCAACAGCGAGGAATCCTGACTGGCCGCTCATCCAACAGCTGGAAAATCGCTTGGATGTTGATGAGGATTTTGCTGATTTCTTTGAGGACAAAAAAAGACAAGTAACCGGAATTAATCCACTGGATGTCACAGTTGCTACTTTTCTCTGTGCAGATCACTTCCTGAGGCAGGAGCTGATGCTCAAAATGTCCCTGTGCCAGTTTGCATTGCCTTTTCTGCTGCCAGACGGGGACACTGCCATCTTCCTCCTCTGGGCCATGCGCTCCATTGTTAAACAGTGGCGCCCGCAGTCTCTAGTGGGCAATTGTGGGTTTGTAGAGGATAACATTGTGACCTCAGCCTTGCCAACCTTCTCCTTTATCAGACTGGGACGGTGCACTGTCTCCAAATCGAAAATCCTGAATCTCACCTTGAGCCGCTCCGAGCAGCAGCAGAATTTCTTCCTGCACTCCCAGATGGAATACAGTGACCAGCCCCGGGAAATGTCTGATGGACTGGTTGAGATCTGCTGGTATCTGCCTTGTGGGAAGGTGAACCTGGATATCTTGCCGGAGGCCTGCGCATTTATTAACCTCCGTGGTGAGGGTAAAGCTCACCAGAAACAGGCTCGGTTCCTCGCCAAAGTCTCCAATGCTCTCTTTGTTTTCATTGACGTTGTTGGTGAAGAGGAAAGAGAGTTTCTGACTTCTCTCACACCATCACCTACACAATTTTTCCTTATAACAAACTCCAGCGGCAATGAGCAGAAAGTCACCCCGCAGCAGATGAGGGAACTGTTCAAATCCCTGAATTTGCAGAGTCACCAGCTGCTGGTACGGAAGGACAAGAACGATGCCCAGTTCGTGGAAATCCTTCGCTCCAAAATCAAGAGCCTCCTCACACTCGGGGAAGTGGGGCAGCGAGGGCTGGAAGAAATGGCTATAGTAGCGAGGGAAAGCGGGATTTGCATTGATGAAGATGAGCCTGAAATCAACCGAGGGAAACAACTGGCCAACAATATACTGATAGACATTCACTCCAGAGACATTGCAGAGTATAAACAAACGGCGCTACCCTTTCAGGGAAAGCTCTGGCAAGAATGGTCCAAAGCTGAGAAAGAGAAGTGCCGAATGAAACACTGCCAGAATAAGCCCATGGAGCTGTACGGACATGAATTGAATCAAAAGCAAAATCAGATCCGCAAAATCCAGAGTGAGAAGAATGTGAGTGAGGAGATGAAACAGTTCATTGCTGCCCTGAAGAAAACCTCTGAGGCCGAGCAGGGCTTTTTTATGCAATGGCTGAAGTTGGGCCTGGACAGAAAATCGCGACAAATTATATCGAAGCTTCGGGTTCAATCTAAAACACTACATAAAAATTCCAAGGAATCAAGTACAGAGTTGAATGAGTTGGATCAGAAAATAGCTGACAGCTCCCTGGGGCTAGAGCACTTCATGCGAGAACTCAGTCAGATTTACGAGATTTGCGCTACTCTGGGTAAAGAGAGGATTTCAGAAAATACATTGAGTATGTTACCTGGTGTAGCTGCTGATCTGATGCTGGGTGGGTTCCCTCTGGAGCTCATTGATGGAGATGTCTCCAATATTCCTATGCAGTGGGTGACTGCGGTGTTGAAGGGAGTTACTAGGAGGGTGGGAAATGATTGCCGTATATTTGTGTTGACGGTGCTTGGTGTGCAGAGCACAGGGAAGTCCACACTCCTGAACACAATGTTCGGATTGCAGTTTGCTGTAAGCAGTGGTCGGTGCACACGTGGTGCTTACATGCAACTCATTAAACTCACAGGCGGCCTGGAGACTGAACTGGGCAGTGATTTCATCCTGGTGATCGACACCGAGGGGTTGAAAGCCCCAGAGCTGGCAAGTCTCGGGGACAGCTATGAGCATGACAATGAGCTGGCCACGTTGGTGATTGGACTCAGTGATGTGACCTTAGTGAATATGTCCATGGAAAACTCCACAGAAATGAAGGATATTCTGCAAATTGTGGTCCATTCGTTCATTCGCATGAGGGCAACGGGGAAAAAGCCAATTTGCCAATTTGTTCACCAGAATGTGGCTGGCGTGTCAGCTCATGATCAGACCCTGAGAGATCGACAGAAACTCCTGAAACAGCTGGATGAGATGACAGAGGCTGCTGCTCGGATGGAGAAATTGCAGCGAGTCACGTTCTGCGATGTGCTGGACTATGACACTGATAGGAACAATTGGTATATCCCTGGGTTGTGGCACGGAGTCCCTCCAATGGCAGCAGTGAACACTGGCTACAGTGAACATGTCTTTGAGCTGAAGAAATCTCTTTTCACTTGCTTTTCAAACTGCAACAAAAAGCAAAAGGCTTTAACAATCCCCAACTTCATCAAATGGATGTCTGGCCTCTGGGACCAGATCAAACATGAAAATTTCATTTTCAGCTTCCAGAACAGCTTGGTCGCTGAGGCTTACAGTCAGCTCTCCAGGAACTACTCAGCCTGGGATTTGGAGATCCGGACATTTGCCCATACCTGGACAATTGAGACTGAAAACAGAATAAAGAACACAAACACTGAGGAATTCCCTCATCAGTCCCTCACCCTGGAGATCACCACAAAAATGGAGGAAAAGAAGAATGAGATCCTCAACAAACTTGAGGAGTACTATGAAAGCAGAGATCATAACGTCCACCTCATGGAATCTTACAGGGAGCAATTTCGAATAAGTATCCAGTCTTTGTGCAGCCAACTTCAGAATGAATCAACACAGAAATGTGAAGAGGTTATCCGAAGACGTGAGGCATTGGATAAAGTGGATAAGATTTGGGATGAATATAATAAGCAAATCGAGGATGAAGTGATGATACTTTTGCAATACTGCAAAAAAGATGGGAAGGAGATGGATGATTGTAAACTTGAGGAGGAGTTCAAAAGGATGTGGCAGAGAACTCTCGAGAAGCTGAGCTACCGACCCTCTAAAGAAACAAATATTGAGGCTGATGTTGAAAATCTCCTGAGAAAGAACATGCCAACACAGGGGAAAGTGATCAGTGAGGCTCTGAGGGGGAAAGTCCTTTCAAAACTGGGGCTTCACATGTTTGATGTGAAGAAGAAACATATTGATCAGAAAATAGGGATCAACATGCTTGTGGGATTCATAGTAGAAACTTCAGAAGTTAAAAAGGCAAGATTGCTGTCAAAGTGCCTGGAGGAAGAATGTAAAGAAGACATAGATAGTATCACAAAAAAGGACGTGGATTACGACAGTAAATATTGTGTTGACATTTTGTGGAACTTGGACAAAAATATAGAAAACAATTCAGAACCGGAGTTTAAGATGAGTGAAATTTATAAGGCGGAATTCAAGCTCCACATGTGTGGCTACGCTGCTCAAAAATTCAAAGTCATGCACAACGTGTTTGTCAACAAGCACAACCCATGGAAGAGGATGGAAAATATGGAGAATCAATACTTTGAGCTTTTCAAGCAGATTTACACAAAGCAGGACATGACTGAAAAAGGAGCAGAAAGATTTGCCAAGAATTGTTTCATTCCGGCCGTCAGGGAAGCCATTCTCAACTGTCTCGGGCACAGAATTGTGCTTGACATGAAAAAAAATGATTCCAGCGGGGAGTACAGCAATCGCAATAGCTTCACTGTGGCTCTGCTCGTCCACCTAAAACAGCAGGACAAATTTGACCAATATCTTAATTACATCAACCACTTTAAGAGTTTTGCAAACAATTGGCTTCGTGGTCAGGTTATCAATTACTGCAACACGAAAACAAATGGAGATACCAAATTTATACATTTAGCAAAAGTTCACCTCAAGGAGATCACTAATGAAGCTAAAGAGATTGTCAGGGAAGCGATCGCTCAGAATGTATCAGGTGAAGCCAGAAGCTTCCTTGACTTGTTTGTCGATAAGTTGAAGGCAAAACTCGCAATGCCCAAAGACAGCCTGAAGCTTGTTGTTTTCCAGCCTGCCAGCAAGGCCGGGAATTTTGCAAAAATGGTCCTGCCACATATCCAGGAGGCGGAAACCTCTCTCCTCCAGGAGCTCACAACATGGAATGTCAATGCAATGATTGAGCAGCTTCCTGTGAAACCCCATGAGGAAATATTGAAAAAACTTATTAGTTGCAACAAAAAATGCCCTTTCTGTCAAGTCTGTTGTGAAATAGAAACGCTTGGCAATCATCAGCATTTCAGTAACCAGCACAGACCTACGGGACTCAATAGACATCGCTGGTCGAATAATAAGCATCTTGTGATGGACATTTGCACTGCTTCAGTAGCAAGCAATTGTAAATTCAGAAACTCAGACACAAACGAACAGTGGGTGAAATACGAGGACTATTGTACAGTAAATGATTATTACAAATCCTGGATTATCCAAAAATCTCCCAGTGCGGAGGCAGCATCTTACTGGAAAAAAGTTTTCCACATCTTTAATCAGGATTTTGCTAAACACTATAATGCGGAACCTGCCGACATCACTGATGCCTGGAACATACCATGGGACAGGGTGAAGGACGATCTTAACAAAACCTACTATGTGTCCTTGAAATTTCTGTAGGGAAAGTCTACAGGAGAGGACCTGGGTTCAATTCCTGGGCAAAGTGATTCGTTGGGCAAGTTTCCTTACTCCACACGCCTCTGTTTACCTAGCAGTAAGTAGGAAGCCGATTATTAGTTGATTGCAGATTGCTTTTCCGGGGATAATAATCCCTTAAAAAATAATAATAATTTGGTCACTCAATCCACAACTGTTTGTGGGACACCGCTGTGCACAACTGGCTGCTGTGTTTCGCTCACAAAATATACAGTTATTTCACTTGACAGGATATTCTGTGAAGTGCCTTGAGACGTCTTGAAGGGATGATAAGGCACTATATCAAATGCAAGGATTATTATTAATATAACCCTCAGAAATGACAGTTTAGAATGAGACATTCGATATATCCAGTCGACAAGACAAAAATCGATGTGACTTAGCTTCACACTCTCCCCAACTCTCAGCTGGCGCAGGCTTCCTGAGCATCCCTCAACCCCCATCGCATTACTACTAATAGTGGCTCTGCATCACTAACTAATACACCACTAAGAACTCCCTGATGTTATATAAATGCAAGTTGTTGTTATTGATTAATGTTAAGATTTGATGTCGCTAATACCTTATTAGTGTAATCCTGAAAGTGAGTTGATTGTTTTCTGTTTGTTGATATTTGTGGATGTATCACTCAATGCGTGTGCATTTCACTCAAGTCAATTCACTTTATAGTATATACTGTGAAGCGCATTTCACCCACAAAATATACAGTCAATCTACTTTACAGTATATTCTATGAAGCGCTTTGAGACGTCTCGAAGACGTGATACGGCGCTGTATCAAATGCAAGGATTATTATTATTAAGTCTCTCCCCCAACCCTTCCATGTTGTCCAACACTGACCCATGTCTTAGCTGCCTTTCCTCTCTAAGGTGTTGGAACATGTTGCTGCCTCCCAGTTTCTCACTTTCCTCTCCTAGCACTTCCTGTTTGAATCCCTCCAGTTTGGCTTTCGCCATGTCCTTTGCACCGAGACCTCCCTGGTCAAAGACACTAATGACATTCTATCTTTGACTAGGGCTCTCTGTATCTCCGAGTTCACCTCGATCTCTGTACCTTTTATACTATTGCCCTAACCCTAACCCATCATTCTCCACCACCTCTCCTCTCCGTTATACTACAGCAGTTCTGTCCTATCCTGGTTTCATTCCTACCTCATCATTTCCACTTTATCTCTTCTTACAGGTTCTCTTCCAGCCCCCGAAGAGTCAATTGTAGTATTCCTCAGGGCTCCCTCCTTGGCCCTATTCTTTTCAAGATGCAGCAGGGAACAAAAGCGCTGGACAGCCACCAAGGCCTCCCTGTACCACAATGAGGTTCCCAGGCCCCCGTGGGTAATGTTATATAATAATAATAATCCTTGCATTTGATATAGCGCTTTTCACGTCTTCTAGACGTCTCACAGCGCTTCACAGAATATACTGTAAAGTGAATTGACTGTATATTTCTGGGTGAAATGCAGCAGCCAATTGCGCACAGCAGTGTCCCACAAACAGTTGTGGATTGAGTGACCAAATTATTATTTTTTTCTTAAGGGATTATTATCAGGCGTGTGGAGTAAGGAAACTTGTCCTAGGTTTTGCCCTGGGGTGAATTGGCCTGGCAGGAATGTTGCACCCCTTTGTACGGATATTTGGGGAAGGCCAACAGTAACAGCACAATTTTGAGGCCTTTATGCATATTATTGGTAGGCTCTGGTCCCTGGTACTGTCCCGCACCAGGCTTCGGGACCACATCACTCCCACTCTCGCTCGCCTCCACTGGCTCCCCATCCCCCAGAGGATTGATTTCAAGATCCTCATCCTCACCTACAAGGCCATTCACGGCCTTGCTCCCTCCTACCTCTCCAACCTACTATCCCCCTACCTACCTACCTGCCCGTACCCTCCGTTCCTCCGGCTCCGGTCTGCTCCACGTCCCCCGCCCCAATCGCCCTACCATCGGTGGTCGGGCCTTCAGCCTCTCAGCCCCCAGGCTCTGGAACTCCATCCCCCAGTGCCTTCACCGCCTCCTCCCTTTCCTCCTTCAAGGCCGGTCTCAAAACCTTTCTCTTTGACCGAGCCTTCAGCTCCCCTCTCGACTCTCTACCCCCTCCTCGCTCCCTTCCTTCCCTCCCCTCACCCTGACCATTTCCCCCCTCCTCGCTCCCTCCCTTCCCTCCCCTGACCATTTCCCCCCTGCTCGGGTCATGACCCAACTGTGCAGCGCCTTGGGACGTCCTCCTGACGTGAAAGGCGCTTTATAAATGGAATCTTGTTGTTGGTGTCTCCCTACATATTCTCCAAGAAGAGCAATCCGAACAGTGACATCTTTCTTCAGGTAAAATTGTAAATATGAGGGGTTTCGAAATGTCTGATGCAAACGGTTACCTATCCATACCTCTAAAGCCTCAAAAGCATAATCTCTAACTAGCTGAACCCCACAATGGCTCATTTAAATAGGGGGCAGCCTGCTGAAAGTAACAACAAGGTAAGCCATATTAGCAAAGCTGACAGCAAAAGGAGAGATATGGATATGCCCATTTAATGACACAAAAATCCTGCAAATTTTCAATTTTTGCTGCGAGAGATAACACACAATGCGTTCTCCAGGTGGGGTGTGCTTTCAAAAATAGAGCCAGACTGAGATTCCCACTTCACTGGTTCACTGATGTGACACACATTGCAAATTTGGGAATAAAACAGCAATTCCACACTTCACTGACCTGAGTGGGCAGGGATAGTTGAAAGAATGAACAGGTCAACAGAAACAATAATGAAGAAGTCATGTCAGAAAATTGTAAAACCTGGGATGCCCTCCTGCAAATGATTCTGACGTGTATCAGGGAAATGCCTTTTAAGACAACAGGTTTTCCCTCACCAGAGGGTGACTGGGCGGTCATTAAGAATGTCTGAGCAATTAAGGATGGATGGAATGTCCATACCAGAACTGCAAGGTGTTACCCTTGAAAATTGTGTAAATAAGTTAGTGTAGGACTTAGCCCACATGTATACGTTAGTTGCAATGAAAACCTGGAAAATTAAGCAAGTGAACAAAAGTCTATCAGACATATGTCCCATTTGCAAAGAAATTTGAATGGCTATATAGAATTAGTGGCAGACAAAGCGAGCCCCACAGAATATCAAATTCATATCTAGTATGATAATTACAAACACAGAAGCGTGTTACCATTTGAATCATCTGAAATTGTTCAAAAGGCTTGATACGTAATGTTGCGCTCTCAGTCTTTTGTCAGCAGAGCATCACATGGAGACTTGTAATTCTATGCCCAGGATTGGCCATCCTGAGAATGGGTGATGATCCACTCTGGACAATGGACTTATAATGGTGGAAATACCAATGAAATCTCAATGATAATATCATACTTGATCACATGTTGGTAACAGTGGATTTCAGCAGCTGAACACTTAAAGATCTCCCAAGGTGTAACCAGACGGAGGCATACACATATTTGTTAAGGGACTGGGCTGAAATGTTCTGCTGTTTCATGAGGAACAAGCAAAGAATTTCTAATCAATTGTGCATATGCAACCAGCACCCTTAGGACAGGAATACAAAAACAGATTCGGACATTGTGCTGGGTTTAATTTGGTGTCTTATGATGGTGTCTTAAAGGGGCAAATGATAAAATTGCTAGTGATTTGCATATGATGAGGTTTACAGGAATTTTAAATCAAAGTTTGTAGCTTGGAATATAATCTACTGTAGTTTTGATAGAACATAACAGTAATATAGTTTTAATATAGTAATAGTTTTGATATCGTTTGACATATATTTAACCATTATTACATAGAGTAAGATATATAGTTTGATAACTATAATGCAAAAGTGATCAGCCTCCTTGACTTGCAGAAGGCAACTAGATTAGTAAAAGGTAATGGGAATGATTGGCATGTGATATCAATCAGCTGTGATAAAATGTAACTTAATGCGCTTAATAGATTAGACTGTTCCACTTCACACCGCAGAGCAGAATAAGCACACAAGGCTATTCACTCCAATCTGTGGCAATGTCCTGGGATAAAGCTGGTGTTTAGACCTGTCTGAGACTGTGCAGATTATAGGACACTTAACTCTGAATATTGCCATCCAGTGCCAAAGGGCAACTGTAAGGAAAGAGATAAAATATTAACTGCTGCAGAATTGCAGATAAACACTGTAGCCTTGACTTTGTTCACCAGGAATGTGTCTTCTGATAAGGAGAAGTTGAGAGAACACTTGGAATAAAATATTTTGGTTGGGATCCATCACATGGGTAGTATGAACACTGCTGGTAAACATGCCCTGCAGCATGGGGTCTATGAACTTGAACCACAGATGGTGTTTGCACTATTTGGTTGGTCTGGGCTTTACGCAGTACCCAATCAGGTATAAAATAGAAAGTTCAGTCAGGAACAATAAGATGCAGATCTGACTGACTCCCAGATGCTCTCCCAAGAAATATGGCAACTGATCAATACTTATTTCTCGACAACCATTATCGTGTCTTGCTCTTCGCTCTTTATATAATCATTGACTGTGGAAGTATAATAAAGGAAACAATTGATTAACACCAAAATTTGTGCACATTATTTCATCATTAATTAATAATGAAAGTAATTTCCTTACACTCCCAACACATACAGCCCCAAACCTTCACCCCAACACACGCAGCCCAGACCCTTACCCAAACACCACAGCCCCAAACCCTCACTGTCAACACATGCAGCCCCAAACCCTCAACAAAAACAACAACTTGCATTTGTATAGTATCCCTCATGCAGGGTAGCGTACCAGAGCGCTTGACAGTGGGGGAGCATGATGCCAAGCCATGCATTGGGGAGCGGGTGGGGGGAGAGAGTTGTGAATGGGCTACGGAGTTTAGTGCGGGTAAGTATGCGGGCAGCGGAGTTTGGGATTAACCTGATTTATGGATAATAGAGCTGGGTAGACTGATAAGCAGACCCTCATCCCCAACACACACAACCGAGACACTCAACCCAAACACAGCCCAGATATTCACCCCAACAA